CAGCCATTTGGGGTGCCTCTAAAACGAGGCAAAACAGTGGTTGCCATTTTGTTTTTCTGGTGGTCATTTTGGAACCACCGATCAGTTGTTACAAAATGGGTGCTTTGCCATGATTGCATCCTTGTGATCATCGCAAAGCGATTTTTACCCATAGGGGCCATCGCTAAGCGATAGCTCTGGCGATGGCAAAAAGTCCATCGCTAAGTGATTTCGCCGTAAAATGGAGTGATCGCTAAGCGAGGCACCACTGTATTTGAAAAGTCAAAACTTACCACTACATATTACTTATTCGTGAAATGGTTACTCATTATATTACTCATTGCCTTCACATTGTCCTCTCAGCCTAGAATAAAGAAGCGAGACTCAATTAATGGAGTAAAACTTGGGCCACACTTTATTAACTTCAACTTATTGACCTTTTCTGCTAAAGAAGGGGCCTGCCATAGTGCAGAATACTGGTTAGGAGCTGGAGGTCTCACTGGGGCCCCTCTCCCACCTTACACAGGCAAGTCCCAATCCCCAGAGTGTGAGAATTACTCCAGGCAATGGATGACCTCAAGAGCAGAGTAGAATCTGTTTTACTTAGAAATTTCTAAGAGGGATCTATTAAGTGTGTGTTTGTGAGGGGAATATCTGAGAGATGCAATACAGTGCAATATTTGTAGTGTTTATGTCTGGTAAAGCCCGAAAAAGCCTTGGCTTATATTAAGTCCTTTGATATATATTTTATCTCAGCTGTTTCTCTCTTGATTCTTGTCTTGTGGTTTCTTTTTTTCTAGAATGTCCACTTTCAAATTGTCTGTGGAATGTCCTGGTAAATTAAAATGATGTGAAACAGGTTTCTGTGTATTTCCATTCCTGATGTATGATTTATATCTAGTGATTAATTTGTGTAGAGATTATCTTGTTTCTCCTATGTAGAGTGCAGATGGGCATTTTTGGCAAAAAAAAAAGCATAAATAAGATTGGTAGAAGAACAAATAAAAGTACCTTTGATGTTGTTTGTGATATTAAGTCCAGTAACTGTGTTGCCTGAATAAATGTGGGGCCAGAGGCATCTGAATTTGTAGCAGGGTTTTGTTCCCATCTCAGTGTCAATGTTGCATTGTCCATTGTGTGTCAGTAGTTGTTTGAGGTTGGAGAGTTGTCTATAAGACAGTATGGGTCTGCCACTCTCTTAGGAAAGTGAAGTGTTCTTTTCAAGGATGGGTTGGAGATCACTCATGATACGTGTGAGTGGTCTCAGCTATGGATTAAGTGACAACTAGTGGTGATTTATTCTTTTCTCTTCTGGGTATGTCCTATAGTATGTTGCTTCTGGGTATCTGTCTTGCTTTATTAATTTGTTCTTTAATCATATTAGGTGCATAATGTAGTCTGTGGAATACATTTTGTAAATCCTTGAGTTTGGACTCTCTATCTTGTGGATCATCTGAGCAGATGTAATTGTATCTGAGGGTGTCTCTAAATAATGGATGTTGTGTGTTCAGTATGGAAACTGGAAACATGAAAGTAGGTGTATCGATCGATGGGTTTCCGGTACAGCATGGTCCATGTTGTAGTTTTAAAGTGGTGTCTAGAAAATACACTTGTTGTGTAGATTGTTCCAGGGTGAGGTTGATGCTCAGGTGAAAGTTATTGAAATCTTTCTGGAATTTTTCTAGGGATTCCTTTCCATGGGTCCAGATTAGAAAAATGTCTTCAGTGTACTTCAGATAGAGGAATGGTTTTGGGTGCAGCAGGAGTGGGGAGTTTAGGGCTGTACCCAGAGTGTTGCTGTCATAAACACAGCATGGCCCTGACCAGTCCCCTAACCCAGTGACCCTCTTGATCCTAGATGCCCCATGGCCTATGGAGGCCCCCAGTGCATCAATCTCTCAGAATTTAAATCTCAGAATTTGCAGCACCAGGAAGTCAGATGGGCTAGCACCTCCCCTGTCTTCCATGGGAACTCACCAATACATGTTCCGTCCACACTACACATCAGTGTGACCTATTTAAAAATGATGCCACCCATGTAAATTCACAGTCCTTGCCTGCTCACTGCTGTGGGATAGGCAGCAAAAAAAAAAAAAGTCCCACTCACCTTATTTATTTATTTATTGGATTTTTCCCCCGCCCCTCTAGACCATGTCTACTTGGGGCGGCTTACATAGATAAAACAAAACAATATAAAATATATAATGCCCATTGGGAAAAGCAGGTCAACAAATCTTGTCCAACCCTGAAAGGTATCTAGTCAGACACACTAGTTCAGAGGGTGGGCAAGTGGGTTGCAACCATGAACAAGGCTCAATACAGAGAGGAGCACTTTTAATAAGTGCCCCTGCCATTCCCCTCCTAGGTCTCATAGGACAGTGGTCCCCAACCTTGGGCCTCTAGGGTGTTCTTGGACTTCAACTCCCAGAAATCCTGGCCAGCAGAGGTGGTGGTGAAGGCTTCTGGGCCTTGTAGTCCAAGAAAATCTGGAGGCCCAAGATTGGGGACCACTGTCATAGGACACAAAATATTGCATCTTGTCCTATCCCAGGGCAGGTGGACAAAAGACCCCTCCCCTTGTAGCTCCAATTAATGGTGGAGTGGGACATTATTTGAGTTTTATTTTTCAATAACTTTATTAATTAAAAAGAAACTTTAAAATACAATGACGACCCCCAATGCTCCAAAGTGACCTCCCATATCTCATTACATTGATAATTTAGCTATAGTACCA